GATTTAATTTGCCCATTTTGTCCTATTTAAACATATTTTGCCCTGTTCCTACATGTCTACATGTCACTAAAGACTGGTTCTGCTTTGCATAACTTGTTGGTAAGCTCCTATTGGTTTTTATATCGTGATTGGCGTTAACCCTAGATATATTTGGGAGTTATTTGAACACATTGTCTGTTCAGATTTATCTGAATAAATTTGTCTTTATTTGTTTAAAAACTTGTGAGTGTTATTTTGTTTGTAGTTTGCTGTCTACATGTGCTCGTGGTCTGGTAGGGAATGTTGTAAAGTCGTCATTTTTATAAAACAGCTCCTTCTGCTATCTTATTTCTTAAGTACTGCATTTGCTCTCTAAATTACAGACTGAGGTGTTTCTATTGTAAGAATAGATAATATTTTAATCATTTAATATTCTACAACAAACAGATGATCGTCGATTTGTATTTGGAAGAATTGTCGTTCTTTCAGAGGGAACAAATAGTAGTTGGTTATGTGTACTTGCTGTTATACTTAGTGCATGTAAACGTTCAGTTGTACTTGTCATAAATAGAAGCAGATTCCTCGGGACATATTCCTCTTAGTGCATGTATGCTTGAGTTGTATAGTCTTCATTTCCATGTTAGTAAATCGGCTCTGAGCCCATTGATACTTTGTTTCCGTGTTTGTAAATGGGCTTTCAGCCAATTGGCAGGAAATAGTATTATAAGAAATATGCATCTTCAATCTGATAAATACTGCCCTCTCGTGGCAAGTTTCACTTATTTATTTTCACATCATACCTCTAGAGGGCACTATTCACATTTAGGTACAGAAGCTACTCTGCATGATAGTAGTCTTGAGAATCTAAAATATTGAAACAATATATTTAGTATACTTCATCCATTTGATCTGATAATGATACTAAGTTTACTGTCACTTTTTTACATTCACTGTAGACAGAACCAACAGTTTATGTCCCCTTTGATCATGTGATATATTCACAACCATGAATTGCTGGCAACTGCAGTATATCATTTTTAATGACAACATGTTTCCTTCTGTGTAGATTAATTACTGTATTTAGCAGGAATTAATTAGTTCTAGAAGCCATACTTGATTTATAACTAGCGTCATTGTGTGTGACATATTCTCATTACCATATAATCTACATAATTAATTTAACATGACAATGTACGATGAAATCTTGACCACCATTTTGTTTCTAAGATACACTTTTAGATTATTTAGCATTTTGGTTGTTACAACATTTTGCTGAGGTCGTAATTACTAAAATAACTTTGTGATTCAACACTACAGAATTATTCAGCAATACTTGGTAATGTGGTTTTGCTGCTCTTAAAGGTTTGCTCTGAAATGAATCCAGTGGATTTAGTGCTGTCTTGGGACTATTATGTGACTTGTTTTTTAATGCGATTATATGCATAGCTGAAAAAGTTGAGGGATTTCCAAGAATTATCCCTTGTTTTGAATTACTGTGGGTCACTGTAATATTGAATCCATGCTTGGCAAACTTGATTGTGTTTTTGTAAATGAAATGAAAACATGCATTTAAATGGGAATTATCCAAAATGATTTTTCAACATTTCATACTCGCTCACATGGTTGACTTTTATAATATTAACTGACATGTATTCTGCAAATTCATATTGCGTACGTTGCATGACACAATCAATAAAAGTGAATGCATCGTCTCATGAGTGCAACATTAAAGGTGCATTTATAGAGCTTTATTGTTGTCATGGCAATATTATATGACATATTTTTCTGAGTATGTTCACATTGTAAGAAAAAAAAAAAGAATTCCTTCTTGTTTTTAATTACTAGGACTACAAATTCATGTGCATTGAAACATAGTCAAATCCAAAAACCTAAGCGACTGTGTTAAAAAATGCTAAAAAGCATCAAAATTCAAAACATTTTTATATATTTATATATTTTACAAATTTGTGCAGATTCAGACTTTAAAAAAAATATTTCACATAATTGTGAAAACACCTGTGAATGTTACTCTATATTTGCTATTTTTATTATCAGACAGAACTTCACAAGAGCAAGGCCAAGGCCAAGTAATACAGCGCCCTCATGTTTGAAAACAATCGACCAGTGACTGCTACACTTAAAACAAAACCATCCCTTTGCCTGTTAAATTTCTGTCGGTTGGTTACCATGGTAACAATGGACATAAAGTGCAATTTCAACAATTTTATCATAATTTTGGATCAAACAGACAAAATGTAACACTGCTTCTACTTTTTCATCCAATATTTGGAAATGGAAATGAGTAGTCTATAAATGGAACTATTTTGTGGATGGTGTCCAAAGTTGATTTTCACACTCAAAAACTTGAAGTACTAAGATTAATAGAGTCTTGTAATCACTAGTTTAATGAAGAGGGAGTGCTCCCATACTTTATAAAAACAATTCTAAATTTGCCGTTGTACAGACTGTTAACCTTTTTTTTTTTTAATTTTTAGATTTTTTCGTCTTAACTGACATATTTTTTCACTTTAAAATGGACTTATTTCAACTAACTGACAAAACAACACAAACAAACAATCCACTGTGACAGCAACATCAGAATTCATTTACTTTTTTCATTTGTATCTGTTGACTCTAATTTGTGAATTATGGGAATGTTGACACAAATAAATGTCATTTACTCAAAATCATTTCAAGCATATAAGTATATTCATTTGATATAACAGATGTAATTTTGGTTCAATATTGCATGGATTGAAAACAATTACGTCAAACAAATTGCCAAAAAATGCAGCCTATATCTCTTTAAATAAAAAGATACAAAACTATATAGACAAGGATTAGACACAAAACATCTCTAGTAAACTGCCTAACTCGCGAACAACACATTTCTTTGTCGCGGATATTTGCATTCGACTATGAGGTAGTGAGCATAATCGTTTGAGACAAGTACGATTGATTACATGATTTACAAAAGGTCGGGGAATTTTGTTGAATTTATTGCACCTAGTTATAGCTGTCATAAATGGTTATTAAGATGTGGGGAAATTGTGTTGTCATGGCAACAGACTGACAGAATGAAGGAATAAATTGAGAGACGATGTACAACTTCTGAAAAGAATGTACAGTATTCCTTTTATAATATTGCATCAACATATTTGGGAGTGTCTTCATCATCATTTAAGATGTGGTTTGAAAAGGCTCTTAAATTGTTTCAATACAAATTCAATTTAATTTAAATTAATCATCATTAATTTCACAAAAGGTTTTTACACCACCGTAATTGCTCTGTTATAAACATATCTCTAGTGGAAGCTCACATTTTCACTGAATTTTTAAAATGACTTATTTGACACACCTTTATGTAAGTGCATGCACTACTAATAGAGTAAATATGGTTTTCACTAAAATAATAAGTATGTGTTTAGCAGAATTATTTTTTTTACTCTCAGATATTTCTCACAATAATTTTAGTGCAAAAAATTTTCCGATTTTTGGTATTTTTTTCTGAATGTAATATTAATTATTTTAAATGAAATTGTTTTATTTTTTTAAATTAACATTTTGTAATAATCTAAGAAAGATCACAATGATTCTAATTAGTAAAAAATGTTATGTATGATACAATAGTTTGCCTTTCCGTCTACTATCAGAATGATTGAGAGAAATAGTCCCATGCTCGGCTTTCCTCTCATCAGTTAAAAAAAGTACACACCTCAGTTGCCAGGAATTCACGGTTGTGAGTATTTCACCTAATTAAAGGAGATGTAAATAAACTGTTGGTTCTGTCTGCAGTGCATGTAAAAAAATCTCAGTATCCATAGTATCAGATTACCATGGGATGACTGAAATTTCAGAGCCAGTAATTGACTTCAGTCCTTTTGGTGTTCTTGGATAAATAAAAAATAAACAGGTAAAAATAAATGATGGCCAATCAATAATGGATAAGAAAACGATATTAAATATTACTCACTTAATCCTGTGAGTGCCTGAGTTAAATTTTGTCTATTACAAAATTAAACTACATAATTTTTTCCTTATTGAAAAAAAATGATAAAAACCTGTAGCCAATTAGAAATTAATTTAATATGTAAAAACTACATTTAAAAAATGTTGAAAAATACATGGAAAATATTTAAAATTTGTGCCAATGGAAAAGATACATGTATGTTGTTCGAAGAAATTAAATTAGATCAACAATACAGAACAAGCACATTCCATAAATCAACTGATGATTTTACCAAGCTAAAACTGGCATCTGTTTGAACAGTGGATTTAAGTATATGTGTTTCTAATAGAGCAAATATGGTATTATGAAATCCATAACTATACTTATGCTTTCATGAAAATTTCAATAAGTATATTTAAATAGTTTGTTTTTATGTTAAATAATAACGAAATTTTAACATTTTTCAGAAATATTCCCGATACTTGTTCAAAGGTAGTTTTTTAAACTGACAACTATTCCTCTGTCTGTGCTGTATATTTGTTGCTTGTTTCATTTACATTATTGCCATCATAAGACAACTAATTACACTATATAAATCCCAGTTTAATTTCCTGTTACCCGACAATCTCACTCATATTTGATCTAATAAGAATATTAAAATTACGACACGTGTACGTAAGATCGTGATAACACTTGTCAGGTCTGTTTTAAGTAGGGTGATCACTCATGATGAATGATCTTGAAACATGATAATCAAAAAACCCACCTTTTTTTTTCTCGCCAATAAACTTTGCAGTTGGCAAGGAATAAAACCCAATCAGAGCCCAGCTGTGTATACTCGGCTGAACAACCCCCCCAAGAGCTGATTACTACCCTAAGCGCATACGCACATGAAAATTAAACAGCTGGGAGATAATGTAGGCGAATGGGAATGGCCAAGCATGTTTTATTCACCCAGAGTGTGTAGTGACTACTGCACTAATAAGATCAGGGACAGCCATATAGCAGTAGACAAAAATACGTATAAACACAGTGCTGTCAATTTGGATGCGACTTTACAATGACTTCCCCTTCTATGCTTTACAGGAATCTCGGAAAGTCTGGTCTCAAGGTGTCATGCCTAGGTCTCGGTAAGTATCTTCTTTTAAATCTTATACACAAACACTGTAGGTTTGTATGCAAAATATGCATTTTTATCATCAGATATTGACCTCTGTTTTCTGTACAATACAAAAATATTGACCTCCATTTGTGAATACAGTGTGCGCATTATGAACTATTATATACCTGTTATGAATGTAAATCTTATTTTTGAAAAGAATATATACCTTGTATGGAACATTGACCTTTTGATTTCAGAATTGTGTATAAAATATTGACCCCTTGTACATGTATTTTAAGAATATTCACCTAAATATTGGCTTTAAATAATTCAATATTTAGGTTTTGAGATAAATAGTGAAAAATTAGGTTACCTGTATTGTCCTTGATTTATCTGACGAGTCATGTCATTGTAAAACATTGACATCAGCAAAGCCGGCATTTGCGGATCACTAAACTATAAATTTGAGGATTCACTGGTTTTTTACCGTCTTTGCCAATATTGCTTTGTCTGGGAAGTGCATTTAATAACATTGTTATAGCAACAATATTTGAGAGTAATAATCACATATGGGCTCTGCTCTCCACTCTAAAACTTAACACACTCGGCAGTTGATTAATGTCCTCTTTGTATCTTTGATTCATATCAGTGTTTTGAACACATAAAATGTAAATTATAAACATGGCTTGCAATTGTCACGTAATATTGCTTCTCCTGATTTTTTTTTTTAATTACCCTTCGAACGCCAAATTCAACTATGCCTTCTTTCACAAAATAAAACCCACAAAATTGTTTCCTCGTTTTTTTTCCAAAAAATGTTACCTGTAGCCAATGTGATTTTAGAGAGAAATACCTAAAATGTTTGCGGGAAAAAGGATTATGTTCATAGGGTTAATTAAACAGTAATGGAAGCATGTAACCTGAGTTGAATTGTGTTATTTGACAAATTTTTCAATTTGAATATTTTGTGCTTTCAAAATTGATACATTATCTCTAAATTGATTGGGATATCTTTTTCCCCGACATAAATCAGGAAACCAATAAATCTTACAAATTTAACTATTTTTTTTAGGATTTCATATTGTCTATGTAAATATATTGTAACATACCAGTAATGTTACATGTAACATGTAATGTAATGCCTGGAATTCACAAGATGTTTGTTATGATTACGTCCACAACTGTATCACTTCACTAGGGATTTTCAATGATTTATAAATTTTGAAAAAAATTTACAGTGAATTTCACAAAGCCATGAATGTTTTGATACAAAATATTGATAAATGTCTTATAAATTTCAAAAACAAATTGGCCAATCACAATGACTTATACCACATATATAATATCTTTTGCGAAAATGGTGGTAATTTGGCCAATAATTGAAGGACACCTGCAAAGAATCATGGGTAGTGTATTTCCAAATAGCTTCTATAGCCAATGAAAGCATCTTCTTTGGATTTGACTGGAGCTTGATGGTCTAAATTCCAGAGTAAATGTTGCATAATTATTTTATAATTTTCCTTGAAAAACATTTGTGCCTTCTTTAAATTCACTGTACATTTATGCTGCCAGAAAAAAGAGTTACCGTATAAAAATGACTGTCGCTGTTCTAGAATTTGTTTACTTGTTCATTTGTCCAAATCCTACATTCTCAGAATGATTGCGTTTTGTAATATCCTTGTAGTTAGTATTTGATTCATTATATTTTGAGTGAAATTTACATATTATTTGTGAAACAGTATCTCAACATTATTTTCTTCAGTTATTTATTTGTATTCAATATCGAAAAAGATTGTGTAATTGAAAAACACCGAAATGCAAATTCTACTGAAAATTTTGTTTGTTAAATAATTTCTTTTAGAGCTAGTTTTAATTTGCAATGTAAAGAGGAAATTAAAAAGAAAATAAGACACTTCAAATCTGACATTTTACTGGCTTATAGGTTAACAAGTGATAAGAATAGGTAACTATGTCTGTTTCCTTGGAAACAATGATTACTGTGACAGCCATTTTGAATCCTAGTATGTTCAAACACTTGACAAATTGTAATTAGAGAAATTTGTGATCGTTAAACGCACTATTGTTTTTAATGATTTTTAAAAAAATCAGTTAATAGATCAATAATCTACAAGATTCAGGAAATTTCTGATATATCCGTATTTATGCAGAAATCTTGTGTTGTTTTTCTTCATCTTAGTTTGAAATAACAACTTACAGACATATTAAGTGATGTATTAATCTGAGCTCTAGGCAAGGATTGAAGCCATATTCTTGAGTTTCTGTCGAAATAAGAGGAATTATCATGGGATTATGCATTTATTACATGAATACTTTTACTGTCTGATAAAATTTATTGCTAAAATCCAATTTCTTGCTGATATAATAACTGTGCACAACTCATATGCAAATGTTTCGTTTTTGATTATGAATGTTCTATTGCGCATGACATTTGAAGGCATATTATTCGTAAAATTTATGTCTCCAATTTGTGTTTTTTTTTCATTTCTTGCTATTTGGTGATTGACTTATATTTGACAAAAGAACTATAAAAAAGATTTACTTCTCTTTAATATTTGATACTTTTAATCAAGAACTATTCTTAATCGTGCGATATCTAGGTATTGTACAACAATAGACTTAAAAATGTTAGAAATCATGTTCACTTTACTCCATAGCTGGGATTTAAATTTACATCATCAGCAAAAAATAATGCTAATTAACCACTTGTGTTTAACCAACGGGTTTCACCATGACAACCTGTTGAAATAATAAGTGCATTTCTCCAGCCCCCACAGAGTGTGAAATCAGTATGTGGTCGCGACCATGCAGTGATAAATTAAACAGTGTCTGTTCTGTTTCAAATGTATTTTGAAACAATATTACAATATATGTCATTAAAATCCTGTTCCAGACAAACACCATAGTAGATAACTCTCAATTTTATAAGCCCGCCAGAAAATGATCGGTCTTGCATTCAAAATAAATTTAAAATACTTCTTTTTCTATTCCAAGTATGCATCATACAAAATGAATAATTACAATTTCTCATTATAAATTATAGCATTCTTTGTTTTACAATCTTTGTATCCAATAATATTATTTAATAGTAAAATTTACGTTTGCAAAATTTGTATTGCAGCAGACCATGAATAAATGTTACCAAAAAACTACCAGGCATGTAATTTTTAATTTTTACCAGCTCAACTAGAAAGTTACCCTTCTTGGGCGAACAGACAGGCAGTAATTTGTAACCATAGAAACCTGAAAATGTAAAAAAAAAAGGAAGATAATTACAGTAATAATCGAGATACGATTGACAACTGACACAATCAGACAAATGGAACACTGTGACATGATATGATATGATATGATATGCTATGATATTACATATTAAATAATATTGTTATATAATCCCCCAGTATTTTGAATGAACATGACATCACCATGGGTGAGTGTCAGTGTCCCTCCAGCCACAAACCAGCAAGAATTATACATTGTACAGATATACTAGAAGTCACATGAGTGAAGAATACCATGTGATTATATATTTCTTTTATCCACAGACACAGTCCTCTCAATTTTTCAGTAAGAATTTTGTTCAATTAATATTGAATATATGATGGATGATTAGAATAATTTTGAGTGAAAATGTTATGAGGTACACCATGTATTTTAGGACACTGTCAAATGTCACTCAGTTTAGTAGCTCAGGATTTGTCGTATTTATTGATATCAAACACAATTCAGTGTGAATATATAGAATAGATAGGATGCATTTATTTCCAAAGTATTGTAACATGAATTTCACTGTTGTCTGCACTAACACTGTCACTGTTATGTTAACATTAAAATAAGGAATGGTTTAGTTACTGAAGTTCAATATAATGGTTATTGTTTTTGATAACATACTCTCATGTAAATGTATCAATAGTTTTACACAATACATGTATCTTTTGTTTTGTTGTAAACCATACATTTTGTGCATGTTTCAAAACATGTATACAGTAGCCGTGAACCTGACCATGTGAACTCTGAAAGTAGTTATCTACATTATCGCATACATGTGTACTGATATGGAATTTATGAAATACATATCACCATTGTGTGACATCATACCTAGGTGATAACTTGTCTATGATAGAGATACGATATATGATATGATATGATATATGATATGATATGATATGATATGATATGATATGATATGATATGATATGATATGATGATATATGACATGGATAACAACATGGATAATATTGCATACTCTCAGATTTCCCAGAATGATATGATACAATATGATACAAGATATATGATATGAAATAGTTAACTATTGCCACAACTTTCAGAGAAAAAAACACATATTTGTTGACTTTATCCTAAATAGAACAGTTTTAGTGCTATAGTATATAGCAGTATTTTAAAAAAAAAATTTTTCTTTCAAAAAAACAAATTGGATGTCACAAATTTAATTGCATCTGGAATTCTCATCAGATAATGTTATCTTGCTGTTGTCTGTTCAATGATTTGTATTCATGCCATTTCTAATAATAATAATCATCAACTAATCATATCAAATGAGATCAACTTTTAATGAATAATATTGAATAATGTGAAAATAATTTATTTGCGCAATTGTTTTCTCATTCAAATTTCAGTCTTATGAATTTATTGTTTTATTGTATTTAGAAAAACATGTGTACATACATGTCTCAGATTGACTTCTATTAGAACTAAAAATCAAAACATACATCAAAATGTTATGATTATTTATTTTTCATTGGTTAAATAACATTCAGATAATCTGTACTCTAAAATAATCAACCTACATATTGAAAACATTTGATTTGAAGCAAAACTGTGATGTGCTTTTTGTAGAGGAAATATTCTACCTGTGTTTATTATATCTTAGATATGATTCTAGTATAAATATATTGCATGCGTGTTGTCACTGATTGAAATGCACATGCATAAAATTATGCCATGTTGCTATGCCAAATTGGGTCAAAGGTCAATTTTTTTTTTTTATGG